CTAATCTGCCCTGGAAGCTCTGAAAGGAAACACTAGTCTTGGCATACACTTGGTGTCTCTTAAGGAACCAGTATTCAGTAGGGTGAATCATTTGGATATTCATACAGCAGAGATGACTCTGATGGCCAAGTGTTTCCCTTGGCCTCATGTCCCATCTAGGGATAGGGTTAGGTTCTGCTCTTTACCCATCTCATTATGAATGGAGCTTCTCCACAGCCATACCTCAAAGGCACTGGGCTTATCTAGAAACCATCTCTACATCTCTACCATCTCTTCATAGCTGCAGAAGAGGCCCTGGCCCTGTTTAGGTTGCTAATTGGACATTAGGAGGACCTTGGGAGCTTCTGGAGGGTCAGAAGTATAATCCAATCCCATTGCTCAGAGTGTGATCCAGCTGGGTCTTGCAAGCCTCCAAGGGTGAAGGTGACACAACATTTCTGGGCACTCTGCTTGCCCAAATGCCCTCTTGCGCTGATCTGACCATGCTCTTTGCCTGGGCTTTGAGTCCCCACCACTTTTCTCTGAGGGCTTCTCCTGCACAGCTGCAAGCTGGGGCACATGTCCTGGAGCTCCCCAACAGCTGGACTGCCACGGCCTGGGGTGCAAGGCTACCCATGTGGGTGAACCATGCAGGGCCACCAGAAGCTGCATCAGCTCGGGTAAGACCTAGGATTGGACTGAGTGCTCCCCTTGAGGCATCACAGGACCTTCAGAAGATCCGAAGCTCCTCTCCACAGCCCACAAACCTTCTCTCTAAATCTGACTTGTAACTCATGCCAAGGAGGGACTGTGTGAAAACCACGACTCAAAACTTATTGGGAAACATCTCCACTTTATTTCCTCCAGGTCTCATGCTCCCGGGTATGGCCCTTTACAGATGTTGGTAGCTCTAAATCCATCCTGATTATTCCCCTGAAATTCCAAGACTTAATCACCTTTTGGTGCTCTCTCCAGGTTTGGCTTTGTACATCTGACACTCAGCTTTGCCCATGCACAGTCCACTCTCACACATGTTTTCTTTCTCCTACTTCAGACTAAGTCTGGCATCCATTTATAGCAGGAATTTTTTTCCCACCAAGCACTAAAATGGCAGTTCTGAGCAAATCGATTACAAGGCAGCTCATACACTGCAAGAGCCAGACTAGCTGGGAGCAATAGTCACCCACAACAAAGGACACACTTTTGGAAACAAACTGCCTTTAAAAGTACCAGCTTTGGAAGAGGAAGGAGCTTTGTGCCTTGTCCCCGATAGTTCATAAGAGTAGATGCAAAGGTCAGGATGCTGGTCAGACATTCAACCTTTGTCCATGCACACACACACACACATCTCTTGTTGTAAACGGGACAGTCCAGCTGAAGCAAAGGCTTTGACGTACGGACTCAAGCCAGACTTTTTGCTTGCAATTCAGATGAATCGCTTGCAATGTTCTCAGCTTCCTAAAATACCTATTTCTAACAAAAGAGTCAGTCTTACTTGAGCATCCAAGTATAGAGTGGATGTGACAAACTTAATGCCTTCAGGACAGAGTTCTTGGCAGTCTGTGTAATTAAACCAGCTGCTTTTCAATATGGTTTAATGCTAAATACTTCACAAACATTAATCATCGGGGACTGGTGTAATGAGCTCAGCAACCAGCAGGAATTTATTTCAAACACAGCCATTGATTACTTGACTGCTTTTGAGCTCAGGAAGGGCTGGCAGAGTTAGGTCTAGAGGGATGAGGCAGAGCACTGCAGAGTGCACAGTTACTATTTAGCGTGTAGGGGCCATATACTTGGTGTTCGGCAGGAAAAAATAGAGGAAAAGGCCTGTTTCTGACCAAAGTAAAGGGGAAAACAGACCTCAGTGCAAACAGCGGTGGCAAAGTAGCTATTTTAGTGTTTCCTGTGGGGAGCTAAATGCAAAGGACCAGTTATCGGTGAAGCTCACAAAAGCAATCTTGCCATTTGGACAGTTTTCCATGGAAATCATTGAAAGTTTTCAGGAAAATAAATGCCTTGTGTCCTTCGATTTCTCCATGGTTTAGGTCTGGTACATGACATCTTTGCTTGGAGCCAGACTCAGTTTACTCTCTAGAATAATTGCCCAAGAATATAAGAATAATTTTACCAAGAATAATTATTTCTTACTGAGACCTGAACAGCAGTGTAGGGTGCTATTCCTAAAATTATTGCTGCAATCCACATCACACAGAATGGTTGAGGTTGGAAGGGACCTCCAGAGATCATCTAGTCCTGTTCAAGCAGGGACACTCCGCGCATGTGGAACAGGGTGGCATCCAGGTGGGTTTCAAAGATCTCCAGAGAACTGGAGATCAGAGCTGTGTGCATTTCAGTGTTATATGAGGTGAGCAAATACATTCACTAGTATAGGCCAGTGAGCGAACACTGCAGCTCCTCTCCCCTGACCTGATCTTCTTCTGTGTTCATTATCATAGCTTGGAGGATTAAATAGCAAAATTGGCTTCCTAATGAAGTTAAATTTGCTTTTCACAGGGATGGTGCTTTTGTTGGTGGTGTTGCATTGCCCAATGCCCTCAGTTAGGTGGATGTAAAACAGGTCGGTGGTCTCAGCTCTTCTTTCTGCTTATTCTCCCCATTTCTCAGGCACTTGTGTGATGCCAAGACCAGACGGTCTGTCCGTGTCTTTTTAATGAGCTCAGAGGATTTCATGGGATGCTTTACGGTGACTTCAGTGGGATCTGGATTGGGCCCAATGTTTAGTCTCCCCTGAGAGGTGGTGATGAAAAGGGCAATAGAAATACAATGTACTGTACTCTGTTCTTCATTTTATTACCTCATTATGTAAGTGTGCAAGCCCTCAATGTGAGGCAAAGGCCCTTGCAAGCTGTAACACACTCCCTGACCTTCAGAAAGCATATGGCTATGTTAAATCTTGCCCTTTGTTTTTATTTTATTTCCCTAGATGACTTATTTTTATTGTGAGTATTATGATATTTGCTTTGTTATTCCTGAAAAGGCCAGCACTGCAATGTATTAACAGTTTGTCAGAGCTTTTCTACTAATTTCTCCCCTTTCATGGTAAGGGAGAAGAAGATCTAAACTGGTGCTGGCAGGTTGAGACTTAGTTTGCAAGGCAGCATCCAGCTCTAAAGGGACTGGTTTCCTAGGCTCTTGTGGCTTGTCATATCTGGCTCTTTCCAAACTCAGGGCAATGCTAAAGAGATGTGCTGCTAATGCCAATAATCAACATTAATGATTGTTTGCTGGTGTTGGAGAAGCATCCAGCTCGCGCGCTGGGAGGGGTTCCGCCTGAGGAAAGAATAGCTGGTCCAAGCTATTTAATAAATATTATTACCTAATCTTACTAATGTCTCTCGTTTGGCTCTCAGTTCGTGGTCAGCCTGTTTATCCATGTCCATGCTCAGAGTCTGGCAATCATGCTGCTCCATGACAATCATTAGTCCTTCCTGTTTTTATGAAATCATGGATTATTATCTCTGCAATAAGCTGCCTCTTCTTTCTCCACTCTCCAAGCCCGGCAGCTGCTCCGGGAGTGATCCCAAAGCCTAGATATGTCAAGCAAGCTGGGAAGGGGAGCAGCAGGCTCCCATCATTAGCTGGAGTCCAGGCTTGTTAACATCACCCAGCTGCCTAACTACGTTGAAGAAACAACAGAGTTGTCGCAATTAAAAGTGGGGAGAAAACACCCAGTTCAGTCCACCGTGCCCAGCACAAGCCACTCCTAGTGCGACATTAAAGCTTACATGAAAACACCCCAATGCCCATCTGCCTTGACTCTCCTCTACAGCCTCTTCCCAAGCCTAAGGCCTCACAACTGATCTCCACTCCATTCCTCCAAGAAACACCCCATCGGTGCCCTTTCCCAAGTCCAGCCTCTCCAGCACAGCATCTGCCTTCTCCATGTCCTCTCAAACAGCCTCACACCCCTTTCCTCTCCTTCATCCTCATGCCAGTCACAATACACAATGATCTCCAGAGCCTCTTCTTGCTCCTAGTAGCCAACCGCAGAGCTCCTCATGATGGCCATAGATACAGGGCTATCCCTCTATGGGCTTCTCTTGCTGCCACGAGAGGCAGAATTTGGTTCCTAGGGCCAGATTCATGGGCAATAGCCTTCAAAGAGAAGGTGATCAGAACTTAAATCCTGCAGTCAGAAGTTGGTCTCTTCAACGCATTATTTTTAAGAGATCTTGGAAAGCATCAGTGGAAGAAGACACCCCAGCAAGCCTGGCTGTTTTTCATGAGCATGTGTGTGTGTGTGTGTATGTGAGCATGTGCAGATGTGTTTGGACACATGTGGTAGGGGGATGAGTTCTGGGCTTCAGAGCCAGCTTGGCTGGTGGGTTTGGGACACTCTTTGAACTCCTGACAGCTAACAACCACAACCATAAACACAGGGGACCATCCCAGCAGGAGAAGAATAGCCCACAGACATTTTGAACACATCATTATTTACAAGAAATGTGACAAGAAAAATAAAGACATGTGAGAATGGCCCTTGCTCAGTTTTGGGACAGGGTAGGAAGGGGCAGAGAAGAAGACAACCATATGGAGGGCACAAGGGAATCTGAGCTGGGGAACAGATGTCTTATGAGAGAAGCTGCCAAACCTGCATGGTACGGTTTGGGGGTACAGTGTGGAAGAAGACGGGGAGAGATGATGCAGTGTTAGCACATACAAGGTGGCTTTAATAGCTGTAAGCAAAAGATGTGCAGGATGAAACCTGGTATTGCTAAGTTAAAGTTCCTGGACAGTGAAACCAGCAGCTAAAGCACAAATCTAGCCACCAAACATAGTTGCTCTTTATCACTGGCAAACAGTATCTGCCAAGTCTTCCCCTGAAATTAAGTTTTGTTTTGCCTTAAAAGAATAAAAAAAAAAGAAAGAAAGAAAAAAAAAAGAATCCCCCCTCCCCGCTGCAGGCAACAGTCTTAGAAACCAGCCCAAGTGGCACCAGCAACCCAGACTGGGAAAAGCTCTTGGACATTTGCCTGTCTAGATGTTCATCGTGGGACGCTACTGCTTGGTGCTCTTGGCAGGCTCTGAGGACTGCCGCACATCAGTCCACTCCTGCATGGTGCTCTGCAGGGCCTGTGTCTTCTCCTTGTCCACTTGTACGTAATCCACCTTCTCATCCGAGGCGACCGATGAGGTGGATGGCTGTGAGCAGGAGAAAGACAGTCAGGACTGGGCATTCATCCAGCTCCATCTCTACCTTGCCGGTCACCCTGGGCCTCTGTCTTCTCCCCACAGTCTTGCTGGGGGTACCACAAGGATGACTGCAAGTTCCTACGCTTTCATGAAAACTCAGGATCTCTTCACCACCCTCCCTTCTTCTCAAAGGATCTTGGATAAAGCATTCCACCCTGGACTGTGTCTTGGGTGTATGGGTGCAATGGAATGACAATGGG